GTGCCTATCAAGATGGCTACGAATTGCTTCGGCAATTATTGATTCCATAAATTTTCCTACTATGGAGGTAAGGCTTATTGGTCTATAGTTCGAAGCCAAGGACCTGTCACCTGCCTTGTAAATAGGTATTACATTTGCCATTTTCCACTTATCAGGCACTATGCCAGTTTGTAGTGATATGTTAAAAAGATTAGCCAAAGGTATGCTAAGTTCCTCTTTACATTCCTTAAACATCCTTGCAAACAGTTCATCAGGGCCTGGGGATTTGTTAGGTTTTAGTTTCTCTTTGTCTGAGGACCATGTCACTAGTTACCGCAATTGTGCATAGTTTATCGTCTTGTTCTACAAAATCTATTATTTCAGGAATATCGCTAGTATTTTCCTGGGTGAAAACTAAGAGGAAGTAGGTATTGAGAATTTCACACGCATCCCTATCACTGTCAGTGATCTGACCAGAGTTACTCTTAAGTGGGCCAATCTTGTCCCTAATCTTACTTCTGTATACCTGAAAAGAACCCTTTTGGGTTAGTCTGTGAATCCCTTGCGACCTTAGCCTCAATCCCGTTTTGCTGTTCTTCCTTTTTTTATTTCTCTCTTTAATTGAATATATTGATTTCTTAACTGCCCATCCCCTCTTTTGATATGCCTATATATGCCTCTCTTCTGACCAATGAGATGTTTTAATCTATTGTTCATCCATTTAGATCTAATTTCCCTACTCGGAACAAAAGTTGTCTGGGCAGCTAGAACTATGCTCTGAAAAACATCATATTGGCAACCAAGATCACCTACCTGACCCATAGTCAGGACATCCCAATTTAGCCCACTCAGGTAATTTTTCAGTCCCATGAAGTCAGCCAAGCGAAAATCTGGGAGATTTGATTGCAGTTATCTGGGTAATTCCATGATACAGGAAGGCCCCACTTATACGGCGGGTTAGGTTCCAGGCTACCGCCGTAAAGCGGAAATCGCCGTAAAGTGGAACACCCTTTTTTTCCACTTATAAATGCATACAAACACTAGATAACAAGTTTACACTAACATATATTAAGTTAGCAATAGAACCAGGCATCAAAAAACAATAAAAAGGTACAATACACACATAGTGCACTCATTACTTACCTTAAAATATTTATAGTCTTAATCTAGGGTGAGACAAGTAGTATTTATTGTAAGAAATCAAGTGTGGTATGTATTGTAATAGCCTCACCAGGCCACCCCACCCACACATACTATTCTATGATATTTAAGCATCCCAGAGCGATAAAATGTATATACAGTTCACTCATTACTTACCTTAAAATATTTGTAGTCTTAATGTAGGGTCAGGAGTAAGTAAATGAGATAAAACGAATAAATGAGAGAGAGAAAGAATGAATACATGAGAGGGGGCAGGCGCAGTTATGTAAACAAACCAGGGGAAGGTAAGTTTTGTAAACAAACGAAGTGTACACGTCTGGTTTGTGTACAAGTTACATTGTGTACAGGTTGTCTCTACATTGATACGGTAGAATTAATAAAGAAGAACACTCCCATTCTCATGTAACATCATTTTGAGAAGAAATGAAGCTCTGAGTGAAGGCAATGGAAATAAGTCACACTGACTTTTTTGGGTTATCCTAGGTTCTCTACACGTATGTTATGTATGATAATCTATGTAACTGTATTTGTGTATACCTGAATAAACTTACTTACATACATACGAAAGGAATAATTTTCTACAGTTACCCCCAGTAACACATTTACTCTTATGTTAGATTAGAGAAAATGTTATTCTTGGCGTCACTTGTACAAGTTATGTGGCTCCCACATCTTATATTTATGTTTATTTATTCTATTGTGGGGTGTATTTATCATCTTTTTATGTTATGTATCGTGTTTATTATATAATTTTGAAAAAAATATCATGGATGGATTAATGAAAATGTGTATATTACCGTAATATACGACATTTAATGAGACTCGGTATTGTTATTATCACCACTTGTGCAAGTCGTCTGCTACGACATCTCACATTTGTTTATTTTATTCTACTGTGGGGTGTATTTATCTTATTTATATGTTATGCATCGTGTTTATTATATGATTTTGAAAAAAATATCATGGATGGATTAATGAAAATGTGTATATTACCGTAATATACGACATTTAATGAGACTCGGTATTGTTATTATCACCACTTGTGCAAGTCGTCTGCTACGACATCTCACATTTGTTTATTTATTCTACTGTGGGTGTATTTATCTTATTTATATGTTATGCATCGTGTTTATTATATAATTTTGAAAAAAAATATCATGGATGGATTAATGAAAATGTGTATATTAACGTAATATACGACATTTAAATGACTCGATGTATGTAAGTTTATTTAGGTACAGGTATACATAAGTATAATTATCAGAGTATATATAAAATATGAAATAACTTTTAAAAACATTTGAAATTTTGGAGTTTCCAGACAAAATGGAGAGACTTAGTGTTACTGAGTCAGGGAAAATTTAAACAAACAGGGGGGGCCGGTGCCGTATTAGAAAGTCAGGTGGGGGGAGCCGTATAGTGATTTTGGCATAATTTGAAATGTCCTTTTACGGAAAGCCGTAAAAAGGGAAACCCCTAAAGCGGGGCCCTTTCCCGAATGAAATTAATATTTGTGATCACTTTTTCCCCAAGCTCATCATTAACCTCAAATTTTTAATTTGTGACTCTTTGTTTTGGGAAGAACCAGTAAGCAGATTGTTTCCTCTAGTTGGTTTTTTGTCACAACCTGTTTAAAAAGCAATCCTATCAAAAAAGTCACTAACCCAAAATTTCCTGTTAAATTGTTTCCCAAACAATTTTCTGAAGTTAAAATCTCCCATTACACAACATTTTCACATCTAGATGCCTATGAATTTCGTCTCATAAAACTTTTGCATCCCTTTCAAGGTTTGGGGGGGCCATAAATCACACCCAAAAAATTTTGTCACGACCTTCGAGAAACTGTAGCCAAACAGATTCTGTGTTCAATGTTTCTAATCTTACATCATGTCTAAGACAACAATTTAAATTTTCTCTGACATACATCGCCACTCCACCACCCTTCCTGTTGACCCTATCAGTGTGGAATAGTTTATAACCCTGTATGTTGCATTCAGAAGGCATTTCTCTATCTTTCAGGTTGAACCAGGTCTCTGTTATACCAATAACATCTATATTACCTACACTTCCAAGCAATCTTAGCTCATCTATCTTATTTCTTAGACTCCTACTATTTGTATAGTAAACCTTAAGGGAGCTAGTCACTCGTTGCCCTCTGCTATCTCTGTCTGTTGATCAACTCATTTACCATTACTAGCAGCTTTATTTTGAATATTGTCTTTTAACCCTTAAACGGTCCAAACAGATCGACGTTCAAATTCGTAGTGCTACAAAAGTAGATCTACTTTTTACATATTTTCAAATATAACAAAAAAAAAATGTAGATAAAAGTTTTTTTTACAAGTTTTCAAATGTAAAACGAAAAAGAAGATCTACATTTTTTTACATACTTTCAGATGTTGAAAAAACGTATATATACGTTTGGACCATTTAAGGGTTAAACATATCCCTGAGGTATCCCGGTAATAACTTGTTTTTAACCTTAATGCTGCAGCCTGATTGTTTCCCACAAACACCCATACCTCTATAATCTATCAGTTTAAATTCTTAGACAAGTCATCAATTACCCTCTCAATCGAATTGGCTAATGCAACCACTATCCCCAGAGAGATGAACCCCATCCCTTGCATACATATCACGTTTGCCAAAGAATAGGTCCCAGTTATCAATGAATGGGATTGCAAGTTCCTTGCAGTACCTGTCTAGCCAGCAATTTATACCAATTGCCCTAGACATCCATTCATTGCCCACTCCCTTTCTAGGCAAGATGCTACATATGACTGGGATCCCTCCCTTAGACCTAACTACTTCTATGGCTGACCTGTACTTATCCAGCAGCTCCTGTCTCCTGCCCTTCCCAATGTCATTACCCCCAGCACTAAGATAATGGGCTTGTTCCCATTACCTGACATAATATTATCCAACCGCTGACTATGTCACCAACACCAGCTCCTGGAAGGCACACTCTGTCTGACTTTTCTGTCTCTGTTACAAGACATGGTCCATATATCTTACCTGAGAATCTCTTGCTATTAAAATATTCTTACCTTGATTTGCAGGGAAATCAGTGGTACCTTCAAGCCCACTAACCACCGAAGTGCACTCGTCATGGAGAACAGAGAATCGATTTCCTACCTTCATATCTTCTCTGTTAACCCTCCTTATCTTCCTTCTTTTTTAACTGTGAACCACTTGCCACTTAAAGCAGCTGCCACTATCACTGCTAGCGACCATTTCCTCCTTACCAGCTAAATCCTTCTCACACTCGCTCCCAAACTCCTCTAGGTGAAGCCTCAGCCTCCTATTTTCTTCCTGAAGAAGTAGAACCTCCTTCTTCAACACATTAACCTGCGATTCTAATACACTACAACAAGCCATGGTGCTTGGCAACACCCCATGCTAACTCCCAGAGCTTAGGACAGGTATGACCGCAGGTTAATACAAAAATGGAGTGAAGCTTTGGTTGTAACATACAATGTACGGAAACACAGTACAATGGTCACAGTTCAGTTTGCAGTGTATGAATGTTGATTTAATCAAAACAAATAAACTGCTAGTACAGTATTATATTGAATTATATACTGTAGTTAATATGTGCAGAATTTACAGTGAATTAAGGTGTTACCTAACTATTTTCAAAGCAATTTACAGTTAAAGATATCTTAGCACTTTCAAGCAGAGTTTCGGATCAAGGGCTTTTTACTTGCCATGGTTAAAACATGCATGATTCTTGTGTGTTTTTGGCGAGTTCTCAACTATTATACAATGTTTAATGGAATGAAGTGCAGAATATTTTTGGCCTCTTGCCTATCTATTCATGTGGTTTAATGGGATTATGCATTAATTGCCAAGTTATTTACCTATATGGCCAAAGACCGGTCGAACAGGAAGGTTGAGCTCATCAAGGGCACTCTGCTTCACCTCCAGTTCCAGCAACTCGACATCACCTGTAATATTGAGAAACATTCTCCATAAAAAATATTTCAATTCTCAAAGTACAGTGAAACCTCATGGCAATAAATAAAACTATTTCTATAAAGGGAAGTACAGTACTGTATGCAATTGACATTGGAATAACAGGAGTGGGGGAAGAAAGGGTACTGTGCGTGTTTATTTAAAAAAATCCATTACATCCAAATGTCCAATGCAGTAGACGAGGTTTGTTGTATGGGAAGCCTACTCTACACAAACGACTGCTAACTGACAAATACCCAACGCAGCAGGCTAAAGCCACTGCACTGAGCCCTTGTTCAGTCACATTTTATCCATTGTATCTGAAAACTATTACATAGGGGTTAGTTTTAATGAGGCTTTATTGTAATACCATTAAAATTAAAAAATATAGGGCAGAGAGGAAGTGCTTCCAACAGCATTCAGTGGTTGCACTCAAAATTACAAGTGCAGTAGTAAAAGAATCTGAAGTAACTATTTTTTTAAATGAAATTCTATTTTAAAATTTATTATAGACCTCCTCATCGTGGAATTGAAAACATATGGTGTTGGAGTCTGGTGGCAGAGCTGGAATAATTTTGTGAATAGGGAGGCAAATATGCAGAACCTCATTCTGAGGAATATTAGTATACAACAGGATATAGATACTAAGTCATCTTAAACACAGCTCCACAGTTTATTTGCAACATTATGAAGATTGAACTGCAAAAGGAGTTGACTTTCAATAGGGTATGATCAGCAGAAGCCCTATAGCAGGACAGCAGTACAAATTTTTATAAATTATAAATACAAAACAGAACATAGTATGTGAATAAAAGCCAAAGTAAGGGTTGTGTGTATTTCAAAGCATTTCCCATCACCTGGAGTTTACCTGGAGAGTGTTCCGGGGTTCAACGCCCCCGCGGCCCGGTCTGTGACCAGGCCTCCTGGTGGATCAGAGCTTGATCAACCAGGCTATTGCTGCTGGCTGCACGCAAACCAACGTACGAGCCACAGCCCGGCTGGTCAGGAACCGACTTTAGGTGCTTGTCAAGTGCCAGCTTGAAGACTGCCAGGGGTCTGTTGGTAATCCCCCTTATGTATGCTGGGAGGCAGTTGAACAGTCTCGGGCCCCTGACACTTATTGTATGGTCTCTTAACGTGCTAGTGACACCCCTGCTTTTCATTGGGGAGATGTTGCATCGTCTGCCAAGTCTTTTGCTTTCGTAGCGAGTGATTTTCGTGTGCAAGTTCGGTACTAGTCCCTCTAGGATTTTCCAGGTGTATATAATCATGTATCTCTCCTGCCTGCGTTCCAGGGAATACAGGTTCAGGAACCAAGCGCTCCCAGTAATTGAGGCGTTTTATCTCCGTTATGCGTGCCGTGAAGGTTCTCTGTACATTTTCTAGGTCAGCAATTTCACCTGCCTTGAAAGGTGCTGTTAGTGTGCAGCAATATTCCAGCCTAGATAGAACAAGTGACCTGAAGAGTGTCATCATGGGCTTGGCCTCTCTAGTTTTGAAGGTTCTCATTATCCACCCATAACAAAAATAAAATAAAATTTACAGTCTGCAGGAAATGAACCTCTAAAGGGTGTTTGGCATGTCATTTTTGGAAAGCATGATAAACAGCAATAAAATAAAATGTGATTAAGAATTTAATGCTTTCTTATCTTATCGATAATAACAATAATAATAATGCAGATCATCCTTTAGTGACAGGATCTCCATTCGGATATCCCTGGCCATGAAATTGGGAGATTGGTTAAGATTACTTCAGTTTTCAAAAAAGCATCTGTTCTCAGATGCAACTGGAGTCTCACTCAGAAGCATCATGGTTTAACCCATCACTTACCTAAGTGGGGTCCTATTTGCCTCAGAATTCTAGGATCTTTTGTGATTGGTCTTTACCTTGGATAATTTTAGAATATTTCAACACCACTTCACATGCCAGTATTAGCTATAATTTTCATATGACTTCTTTAAGTTAGTATGGTTGTATTTCTCATGTGACTTCAGTACTAGTTATATACTGGCTAATACAGCTACGTATAATTTTCCTATGGTTCTGACTATTTTCATACAACTTCTATGCTAACTAATTTTCATTCAGCTTTCATACTAGCTATCCTAGCTATAGCTGCAGCTTTCACATGACTTTGAACTCTTTGCTAATTTAGAGGAATAAGGGTCCAGTACTGAAACTGGGTCATTTCATGTCAACTGGACCAATAGTCCCCACATGACCATCTCCAATTTTGCTGTAACTGTGTAGTTCCAGGTAGATTTTAAACAGTTCTGTAGAATTTTAGATCCAGTATGTTAAATTACAGCCTGGCCACCAAGGGCCTTATTGCAAGAGTAACCAAGTTTTATAAAGTACTGTATATTTTCCATGTTACATTGTATTACATCATATTCACACTTTACATACATGGCAGAAGACAATAGTTATGCAATGCATTTTGGGCAGCCTTAAGACTGAACATACCTTATAAAAGTTTATACAAGTTACGTAGATTACGTGTGTGTTTTAAATCATTTAATTAAGTTGCACACAGATAAAAAAAAATAGTTATTATTTTCACTGATTATGGTACTATCTGATGATCAATAGCACTGTCAGAATGAAGAAACTAACAAAATGGTAAAAATTTTGGGTGTGCCAGAATACTGGAGACAAGTGCATGAAGATGACACCTGGATGAATGCTCGATAGGCAGGTATTAATAGTGTGTTTGACATAATATACAATTACAGTGGTCCCTCATTTATCATCGTTAATCCATTCCTGGAAGTGCAACAATTATCGAAATAATGATTTTCGAATTAATTTTCCCCATAAGAAATAATGTAAATACAATTAATCCGTTCCTGACACCCAGAGGTATTAACCCCTTCAGGGTCCAAGGCCAAAATCGAAGTGGTGCTCCAGTGTCCAAGAAATTTTGAAAAAAAAAAAAAAAAAAAAAAAAAAAAAAAAAATTAATACAGAATTAAAAAGCATATTTTTCTGAAGGTAATAAGACAAAAAAATTTCTCATCAGTACTTACCGAGATACAGTGCCGAGAAGTTTGTCCAAAATTACCTGGTGGCGGCAACATCGACGATTTCCACATACGCGCATTATTTTATTTAGCAGTTTTTGTAGTTCTTTCTTTTCTTTTCCAATTTTTTTCTTTTCCTACTAACATTTGGTGGCCTGAGAGACCAATACTGAATATAATGTATATATATAACTCACTGTATTTAAACACACAATAACTGCACTAAAGTTACTATCATATTACTGTTTACCACTGTTGTTTATTACAATAAACATGCACAAATCTTGTATAATACTAATGTTCTATCATATATTTACAATCACTGGACATGGTTTTAGAACTGCTGGAGCTTGTGGAACTCCTTGAAACAAGGCACCATGCACAGAGGTAGCTTACATTCCTCACACATAAACCGAGAGTCTTTGCGTCTTCGTTGCCGTCGTTTTGTTTTGTGCACAGACAATGCATCTCTTCTGACAAATTTCTTCTGAGTTGAAGGAAGCTGTATTATGAAATGATCACCTTCCCTCCTCAAACGCTTGGGTATATCCTGAGGAGTTCGAGGACCTTGTTGTATAGCAGGTGTTGTTACCTGGTACTTCATTATGAGTTGTCTGACAACAGACAAACAAAATTCACCATACGGTGGTCTGTTGCCAGTCTTCATTTGGTACATATTATAATGCATTGAGCATGAAATGTCCATGAGATGGAAGAAAAGTTCCATGTACCACTTGTAACTTTTACGAACACAATCAACAAAGCCAATCTGCAAGTCACATTTGTCAACCAAGTGCATACAGTGGACCCCCCGCTTAACGATCACCTCCCAATGCGACCAATTTATGTAAGTGTATTTATGTAAGTGCGTTTGTACGTGTATGCTTGGGGGTCTGAAATGGACTAATCTACTTCACAATATTCCTTATGGGAGCAAATTCGGTCAGTACTGGCACCTGAACATACTTCTGGAGAAAAAATATCGTTAACTGGGGGTCCACTGTATTTTGTGTATAATCAATCACTGTCACTGGTTTTCGAATACGTTCATTAGTCACTCGATCAACTTTGCCACTGTCTTGCATTTCATTACGGTAAATGGTTGTCAACAATGTGACATCTCGTTTGTCATGCCACCGTAATGCCATGATGTCATTGGCAGTAAACACCTGCACGTCATCACCACGAGCACCTGCGTTGAGCCTGGGCATATGTTTACGATTAGAACGCACTGTGCAATACACATCTGTCTTGTTCACTTGCAAGAAATCACTGAGTAATGGGCTTGTGTACCAGTTATCGGTATATAATGTATGCCCCTTACCAAGATAAGGTGCCATCATGCTTCTCACTACGTCACCTGAGATACCCAATAACATCTTGGTATCTTTCAATGTTTTACTTCCCGTATATACAACAATATCCAATACCAGGCCACTGTCACAGTCACAGAGTACAAACAGTTTTATACCAAAGTGTTTCCTCTTGCTCAGTATATACTGTTTGAATGACAGCCTACCTTTGAACAAAATCAAAGACTTGTCAATTACAAGATTCTTGAATGGAATAAAAACTACATGCTGAACTTTTTGTTTGAGATACAAAAAAAACATTCTAATCTTGTATAACCTGTCACTTCTGTCAGGCCTGGTTGTCAGAGAAGTGCAACATACGTAACAGTAAGATAAACCTGTTCACTGGGATGATTTCACTGATGACCGGGGTAGAAATTAGCCGATCTGTGGACCATATGCTTTTAATATTATGCTTATAGACATGAGGCATAAGCATTATTGTTGCAAAAAGCAAATACATTTCTGCAACAGTCGTCTCTTTCCACTGGTGTAGTCTTGACTGTGGCGATATGATCGTATTTGCCATGGTGTACTCAAAATACTTATTACTTTCCCTGACAATAGTTTCCCATCAATGGCTGGTCAAAGAATAATTCAAAATTCCAGTTCATTTG